TACAATCCTCCAGAAACCGCAAAGGACGCTAGGATAAGACAGGCATTAGGAGACATCTGACTCTCTTGGAAAGTACATCTTTTAAATGCACCCAAACCCAGCCGTCTGTTCCGCCTGAAGCTAAAGCAATGACTTCTTTGATTTGCTGGCAGACTGCTATTAGTAATGTGATTCGATACTTCCTTTAAAAAGTTGTTCTCAGTACCTATCTACGCAGCAGTTACGCCATCCAGTCAGGGAAATTACAAAACAATCCCAGTTTCCTTGAGCACTTAGCATTTTCTCTTTACGTTTCTCACTGGTCAATCATCCTGTAATATCACATCATTCCATAGCACAGATCATTTTCTCGACCATGACTGCTGCTGTTTGAAAGTAATAAAGAACGCGAGTCGTTCGTTACTGAATACGTTCACTCGATTTGAAGACGTAAGACCGCTATGGGCTGTAGGCGTGAACCTGTGGTGTGGATTATGTGTTCGTGAGAGTGGGATGCTGGTCAAGAGAAGCTCTAGACTTACAAGACGGATAAACGGACTCTGACTTCACCCCGACTCTGGCCGGCTCCGGAGCGACTCACTCTGACTCTGACTCCAACTTCATAGCATTGTTCTGTACGCTGTGGGAATTTGGCTCTTCTAGACAAGGGGCGTCCAATTGGTCTGTGCAAAAGAGAATCAGTCTTTTAAAATTCAGTATTTCGAAAACTACAAGATGTAGTTCAACATGTGGCTGTCCGAAAAGCATGCCCTTAACACGTGCACGCTATGGATTGTTATCTAAGTGCGTCATAATGCGGCAGTGCTGCCAACGAACTTCGGTGGGCTCGGGTCGTGCATGCATGTCACTGACGTCGTCGTCCTTCTCCAGTTGCCAGATGTTGCCAGATGACTGTCAAAACATTTGTGCTCCTAATCCTTCGGCGCGGGATTTTTACCAACCAAACTGTAAAACCTGCCAAACTGAATCGCATCCCAGGGTGGAGGCCGACCGATGGATGCACAAGGGCTCAGAACTGACACTCGCACGTGTTTAATGGACGAGGGCCCAGAAACTGACGTCCCCATGTGTTAAATGCACGACAACTCAGAACTGACTCTCGCGCCACGTGTTAAACAAGGATTGGCGGCGCGCCAGCAGGACCCTGGAAGCATGCTGAAATGTAAACTCAGCCAGGAGCGTGGAGAGCGTGGATGTAAAATAGTTTGCGGCGCGTTTGCGGGTGCAGGTGAGAGAATGTGCGCTGGCGTTCAGGAGCGTCAATTGTTTCCCGTACGGTTGCGTGACCGAGCCAAATTCGAAAAATGTGCTGTGGTGTGTACAAGACTTCTGCGGTTTGCCTCCCCACCTTTGCGCGGCATGTTCAGTTGGCACGCTCTTGCTGCGCCATCGACTTGTTGTATCCAGCTGATTGCACAATGTGCGGATCCGTCCGGATGCCATCACTCCATGCTGCACAAAGGTGCCTACCGAGTTTCCGAGAAACTAAATCGCACTGGCTCCAGCCATGGCCCATTGTCCTGGACTCCTTGAATTTCCATTTGCAATGCAAAATGTTTTGATATAGAAGTTAACTTAGTGATATTTTCCTACCCTCTGTGAATTTGTCGCTGAACCGGTTCTTGGCGTGAGATGCCCGTGACGCCCGTCACGTGACGAGGTCTTGGCTGGGTTTTGAAACGCGTACGTGCGAAAATAAACGCGCGCCCACCTGGCCCATTGTGCAGCCTCACAGACAGCTGGGGCAAATAGGAATTAGGTGGTTTATAAACACGGTGTCGGTCTATTCCCCGTCGTTTGTCTGCGGCTGTGCTGCTTTTACACGCTGTGGTGGGGTCACGTCGTCCCGGTGGGGGAGTAATGGTACGCCAGGGAGGGGACTCATGTTGCCCGGTGGGGGAGTAATGGTACACCAGGGAGGGGACTCATGTTGCCCAGTGGGGGAGTAATGGTACGCCAGGGAGGGGACTCATGTTGCCCAGTGGGGGAGTAATGGTACGCCAGGGAGGGGACTCATGTTGCCCGTGGGGGAGTAATGGTACACCAGGGAGGGGACTCATGTTGCCCGTGGGGGAGTAATGGTACACCAGGGAGGGGACTCATGTTGCCCAGTGGGGGAGTAATGGTACGCCAGGGAGGGGACTCATGTTGCCCAGTGGGGGAGTAATGGTACAGGGAGGGGACTCATGTTGCCCAGTGGGGGAGTAATGGTACGCCAGGGAGGGGACTCATGTTGCCCAGTGGGGGAGTATGGTACACCAGGGAGGGGACTCATGTTGCCCAGTGGGGGAGTGATGGTACACCAGGGAGGGGACTCATGTTGCCCAGTGGGGGAGTGATGGTACACCAGGGAGGGGACTCATGTTGCCCAGGTGGTGCGGAGTGATGTGTACACCCAGGGAGGGCGACTCATGGTTGCCCAGTCGGGGAGTAATGGTACACCCAGGGAGGGAGGGAAGCCTCATGTTGCCCAGTGGGGGAGTTGATGGTACAGCCAGGGAGGGGAACTCATGTTGCCCAGTGGGGGAGTGAATGGTACAGCCAGGGAGGGGAAGCTCATGTTGCCCAGTGGGGAGTAATGGACAACCAGGGAGGGGACTCATGTGCCCAGTGGGGAGTGAATGGTACACCAGGGAGGGGAACTCAATGTTGCCCAGTTGGGTGAGTGAATGGTACGTCCAGGGAGGGGAACCTCAATGTTGCCTCAGTGGGGGAAGTGGATGGTACGAAACGCCAGGAGGGGACTCATGTTGCCCAGTGGGGGAGTGAAGGGTACACCAGGGATGGGACTCAGGTTGCCCAGTGGTGGAGTGATGGTACACCAGGGAGGGGGAATCATGTTGCCCAGTGGGGGGAGTGATGACACAGGGAGGGGACTCATGTTTGCCCATTGGGGGAGTGAGTGGTACCACCAGGGAGGGGGACTCATGTTGCCCAGTGGGGGAGTGATGGTACACCAGGGAGGGGACTCATGTTGCCCAGTGGGGGGAGTGAATGGTACACAGGGAGGACTCATGTTGCCCAGGGGGGAGTAAATGGTACACCAGGGAGGGGGACTCATGTTGCCCAGTGGGGGAGTGATGGTACACCAGGGAGGGGACTCATGTTGCCCAGTGGGGGAGTAATGGTACGCCAGGGAGGGGACTCATGTTGCCCAGTGGGGGAGTAATGGTACGCCAGGGAGGGACTCATGTTGCCCAGGTGGGGGGTAATGGTACACCAGGGAGGGGACTCATGTTGCCCAGTGGGGGAGTAATGGTACTACGCCAGGGAGGGGACTCATGTTGCCCAGTGGGGGAGTAATGGTACGCCAGGGAGGGGGACTCATGTTGCCAGTGGGGGAGTAATGTAACACCAGGGAGGGGACTCATGTTGCCCAGTGGGGGAGTAATGGTACGCCAGGGAGGGGACTCATGTTGCCCAGTGGGGGAGTAATGGTACGCCAGGAGGGGACTCATGTTGCCATTGGGGGAGTAATGGTACGCCAGGGAGGGACTCTATTTGCCCAGTGGGGGAGTAATGGTACGCCAGGGAGGGGACTCAATGTTGCCCAGTGGGGGGAGTAATGGTACACAGGGAGGGGGACTCATGTTGCCCATTAGGGGAGTAATGGTACACCAGGGAGGGGACTCATGTTGCCCAGTGGGGGATTAATGGTAACGCCAGGGAGGGGACTCATGTTGCCCAGTGGGGGAGTAATGGTACGCCAGGGAGGGGACTCATGTTGCCCAGTGGGGGAGTGATGGTACTTCAGGGAAGTCATGTAATCCCAAGGACGCAACACAGGTCACCCTTGGAGGGAATTTGCATATATATATATATATATATATATATATATATATATATATATGTATGTGTGTGCGGTATGTGTGTGTGTGTGTGTTGTGTGTGTTGTGTGTGTGTGTTGTGTGTGTGTGTGTGTGTGTGTGTGTGTGTGTGTGTGTGTGTGTGTGTGTGTGTGTGTGTCTCACAAGACATCTCAACGCATTTGATTACCTTTGTTTACAGTATTGCCTACATCACGACAACCTTCACCCAACGCGATGAAATTTGCAGTCTTGCGGAATAACTGAGACGTGATATTAGTATCGCGAATCGCAGAACTCTTCGGTCCATAGTCCTCGGTGAGGTGTGCGAGCGTATTAACACACCAGATGGGGAGGACAGTCCGAACAATGATTCCATCCGCGATGAAATTTGATGTCTGCATCTGAATTCACGTTTTCTTCCACTTAGACACCTGCACAACTGCACGCCTAACGCAGGCACCAGTTACAGCTGCATAAAGCTAAAGTCTTAAGTCAAGAAGCAGATATAGAGCTCAATCTCACAACACCTCACAATACGCCTATGTTCTTGCGTCATTAATTTTACCGATGTCTCTTTCACAGTTGTTCCTTTATGCAGCGTGAGCTCAACCTACGTTTACCGCTCCTTGCGGGGGCGAAGCTTTGGAACATGTGTTTGGGTCAAGCGGCCATAAAATGGCTTAACCTGCTCACAGATGGCGAAAAACCTGTCACCCCAGATTTAACTATGGCAGCTGTCGAAATTAGCGGCCGAAGCGCCCTCAACTAAATGCGAACTTACACTCTGTTTTCCCGAATTGGCGCCAATTAATCGTTCGGTGTGCGTATTTCCCATGATGAATGTGCGTTTGCATGGCAAAACACGTTAGCTGTTTAGAAACAGATGTTGCTCACTCACAGTGAGTGATATTTAAGTCAATGAAACGACCTAATGAAACTCCCCGCATTACGGTATTTGTGTCAATACCGCGGGCCGTTCTGGCAGATCAGTTGCGAAAAGCCCTCGGTGGTGCCACTGATCAGGGGCGCGCTCAGGTTGGCTCATTAGGGTCTCCGACATTAATCCACCCCACCACAAGAACAGAAACAACCTGGGAGGTACGATTTGTACTGTTTCGATGCAAATTCGTATCCCAATTTCAGCGGAAATTTGCATTTCCGGTGGCGTCATCCACTCCTGCTCTCGCCTCTGTCTCTGATCAGCTGATTCTCCCGCCAGAAATAGAGGCGCCTTCCGAGACGGAAGTAGGCCGTGCGAGGGAGGCGGCTGCGCGGCTGTCTGCCTCCCCCGACTCGCCTAGTTCGCCGACCGACCACAGCTTGCCGGCCGGCGCCACTGTCGCCGAGCACGTGACCGAGCTCCAGAAGAACCTCAGCGAGGATTTCAGCAAGAAGCTGCAGGTGGGAGGGGGGGGGGGGGCGGCGGAAACTGCCCGTGTGTTGACCTGTCGGTGAAATTCCACGGGGCTCAGGTCGCAATAAAAACAAAACACGTGACGCGTGACGCTAAACCCCGCCCCTGAAACGTCAGAACACCGTTAAAAATAGCGGGCGATAGATAGTTTTATACCATTCAAAACAAACTTAGCTACCTAGTGCCTAACAGCTAATTCAAGGCGACTTTAGTCTTCCGATTGAGCAGCTGTTGTTTCGCTGGAGTTGCCAGCCAAGCGGCCGCCGCCAAGTAGTCTGTTGGCTCTCCCGGGAGAACCGCCGCAGGTGTGGCGCGTGACGTCGACAGAAATACTTCTGAGCGCAGAATCGGTCACGGACAGCTAATTCTGGATTGCTTCGGAAACAAGCCACAGAAGAGAGGCGGTAGCGGTTGAACTGACGCGCTACCCGCGAGTGGCAACGCGCTTTCCACCAAATTCAACTCACTTCGGAAATTGGCTCCCTGTTTTCATGCTAAATTACTCTGCTGATTGTTGTCGTCTGTCAGAGAGACCTGATATGCCAATTGACAACACTTAACAATTTTTAAAATTTTTGATATTTTCAGCTCGCTCGCTCAACAAAACTCCGGCCACGTGCCAAACCATCGATACTACCCACCATACTTTCTGGGTTCTATGCATGGTTCTATGATAGTGTGACACAGCTTATGCACTGAGATCCGAGAATTGCGTTCGACTTTCATAACACAAAATTAAAAAATTCGTCCGGTACCGAGAAGTGGCCGAGAAGAAATTTCATTTATTTTGGTTGATGCATCACAACGGGTGTGATATTTTTGCGGTGTTAATCTACACCTTGCTGCATTGTGACACCCGATGACGCCCTTTAAGGCTAAAAAACCGAGATGGCCGACGCGCCCCTAAAGCTTAATAGCTTGCTAACTATACGATCCTGGGCGTAATTACACTCGGGTGTTATTATCCCGGGCCTAATTACACCATTGCAATCGGCACTTTGGTATGGCCTGGGATACATTACATTCACTTATCTTACACCTGTGCGACTTGAAACCATGTGATGCGGTACACGCTATGGCCTAGCACACCGTTGGTTGTATTAGATTAAGACATCGAGCAACTCTCGACGTTAGCATACAGTCAACCTCCAATGATAATGCCACACTTTGCTTTTCGATATTTTAAAGTCATGACACATTACTCCATCTCACATCGCATGCCCATGACTGTGTGACTCGCTGACACATTGCAACCCGATGACACCCGGAATGACACTGGATGTCGTCAGGAATGGGAGCGGAAGCGGAGTGGGGGCCAAAGTCAGAGCCGGCCGCCGGAGCCAGAGCCGGAGAGACCCGAGAGACGCAGCCGGAAGGAGGAGGTTGAGCGGCAGCGAAAGGTCACGCAGGTCAGTGCAGGGTCAACCGACACGGCAGCAGAATTTTACATGAAAAGGTGACGGAAAAATGGAAACCGAAACAGCGCGCAGACTGAGGGTGTCTTCACTCCAGGAATATTTTTGAAAGCCAGCTCTATCCGTTTCATTTTTAGGTGAAACGCTGAAAATTAATCCCGCATTTGTTTTGGATATTGCAGACTATTCACAGCCGGTCAGCTCAGGTCATTGTATTGTTCTCATCATAATGGGGAGTTGTGTGCTCGAGATTCCATTTCATCCTCTTTTGAAACCATTCTGCTTAACATATGCTAATTACAACGCATTTGGTCATGCCGATATTTTGCCTTCTTCGTGCATTTCCCATGCACTTGTCACGCCATTTATTGCAAATTGTGGAAAGCGGGGCCATAACAATGGAAAAGACGCTCTAAAAGGACCGGGCCTACAGCAAAAGTGTGTCATTAACGTGCGATGTATAGAACAAGCCGAAGCATGTTCTTTCAAAACCAGTTGCTTCCTCACAGTTCGCCCAAATTTAATGTCATTAACTACTCCCGAGCTGCCGCAACTTGGAACAGCACTCCGCCAATGTACAGAATCCATACTCGAGAAGAAGGTTTGCAGAATCAATGCCGATTCGGGAGCGAGTGGCTGACAGGTAGAAGGGTACCACGTGTGCCAATGAGAGGTGCCTCTACGTTTGACGGATACTGAGCAAAATCGTAATAAAGAGTACGCTGGCAGAAATTTGAAGAAAAATTCCAGCACGTTAAGTGTCAGTTTTTTTCTCTCTTATTTTCGCAAGGCTCTTGAGCATGTGCAGTATGTTTGCGCAGCTTACTGCCCTTGTCCACAGTCCGGTAACAGGCTAAAAAAATACAAATATACACCACCAAAAAGGGATTCCCCGTCGACCCAATCCGTTTCACGCCGTATTTGAACTCGCCCGCGGCCGCAGGTGCAGCACGAGGAGCAGCTTCCGGCTGAGTTCCGGCGGAGGCTGCACGAGTGGGAGCGCAAGCAGCGCGAGGGCAGCGGCCGCCGGAAGCGGACCGACGAGGGACCGGAAGTCCGGCGGAAGTTAACCGACGGCGAGCGGCGGCGCGGCAAGCAGGAGTACCGGGAGACACGCAGTCAGATGTCGCCACAGGTGCGGCTGGGATGGATTGAGGACCACTGGAGTTGGGAGAGCGAAAGCTGCTGGCGCCGGTAGAAAATGGTGGAAACGGGACTTTGAATAGCCTCAGGGGTGACAAGTCATCTCGTATGCAGGAGTGGGATGCGATGTTTTTGCACCTTTACATCCCGGCCATAGCATTTGCAGACGACCAGGCTCGGCATGCTCTGTTCGGGCCGTTCTTAGATCGTGGAGAATAATATTTATATCTGTCTGAAACGTCGGCCTGAGTGTCCTCCTCCAGCCACCCACAAGCGTTGGAGGATTCGCCGAACACGCCACCAGCCTGTGCGTGTTGCAGTCTGCCAATGTTATCGCGACCTCTGAGAGAGAAGGATGGGTGTTCGATCTCTGCCCACGTGGCGCTTAGAGTCACCGCCGCATTGCGCCACAGTTCTGGCAACAGCTGTGCCCCTCCCTACCTGTGATCCTGTGCCCCGTTGCCCCAGGCGGTGGAGGAGGAGCACCTGCCAGCCGAGTTCCGCAAGCGCCTCACGGAGTGGGAGATCGCCAAGGCCCTCGCCGGAAAATCGCAGCAGAACGTGGAGCAACTGCAGAAGAACCTGCCGCACGAGTTCAACAAGAAGTACGAGGAGTGGAAGCTGATGAAGGCCGGCCGGCTGAGTCCGGGCTGCCAGAAACGGAGGGCAGCGGAGGTGCGCCGCCAGACGCGCACCAAGGACCTGCAGTGGCTGGAGCGGGAGCTGCAGAAGGTGAGAGTGGGGGTGGCAGCGGGAGCTGCAGAAGGTGAGAGTGGGGGCGGCAGCGGAAGCTGCAGAAGGTGAGAGTGGGGGCGGCGGCGGGAGGCCGGGCCAGGGATTGCTGGCGCGGAGACAGAAACCTCTGTAAGGTAGTTCAGTAGCCTCACTTCATCCGCTACATTAAACCAGTCGCACACTTCAGCTGAGCAGCGCGGGTACTGCTGGTGTTGGGGAGAGATGTCAGACTGGTGGCTTGGAGGTGGAGGTAAGGCTTCCATGGTGTGCAGCATAAATAACTCGACGCAGCCGGTAGGACTCGAACCTACGCTCCCAGAGGGAATCTGATTTCTAGTCAGACGCCTTAACCACTCGGCCACGGCTGCCCGCAACATGCGAGCATAGAGCACTTGCGCCAGAAATGCATGACGGAGCTTTGTGCACGTCATTTACTCCCCCCCCCCCCCTCCCCCTCACCGACCGCAGCCAATCCGCCACGTCACAGTTCGGAGGGCTTGGGGCGTCACGACCACTGTCAGAGACGTACCAATCGAAAGCGGGAGGGCGGACGGAGAGGGGCATCGCCGACACACGCCAAAACAAGGAACATATCACACATACGCGTATTCGGCTTAAATGCAGTGGGAGCCATCTACTGCCCCTTCTGGGCGGTGAATAGCTCCCATTGGCGGCAGCGCCATGCACAATTTTGCTCTGTTGTCTGTGAAGCAAGAAAATGTCTTATGCGCTCGGCTTCGTACGCTCATAAGCCGGGCGCTGCGATGCGTCACTAAAGCCAACTGTCATTGATAAAGACGTCGGCGAAGGCCGAGGTCAGGTACTGGCGACGATGGAGAAAGTGACAGAAGTGCGATCAGAAAGTGTGAATGAATCGAGACTTTGGGTACTCGGTGTCATTTTGTTGGATATGCTGTCTTTGTAAAGCAAGAACCACATTTATCACTTCACTTATTTTATCATAGATATATGCAGGAGGCCTTGAGGTTTTTCGGCATTGTAAGCTTGAATTCTCATTCTGATAGTAAGCTAACTCCGCTATGCCGAGAAAACAGGTTAAACGGCCTTATAATGCAAGCATTGGCTATATCGACCCAGTTATGTGCTTGACTACGCTGAAAAAACTGAGGTTGAGTTTTTTATATAACCAGTGTTTGCATGATGACGTCGCTTGATCAGTACTTTCTTGTATGCCGAACCTTGATTACTGTCAGAATAAAAGCTCCAAATCACAACTGTCCTCCCCTCTATGTGTATGCTTCTGTGCCCTTCAGTTCTTCTGTTCACGTTTTTCTATGCGCCATAGGTGGAGCGAGAGAAGGGTCGCCTGGAGAGAGAGCGGGAGAAGTACCTAGACCGGGAGGCTCGGTAAGCGTCCGACGACCTCTAGCCTCTGCGCAGGCCCAACGACCTGTAGCCTCTGAGCAGGTCACACTTGTCGAGGTTTTCTTTTCCAGAAGTTTGCAACGGGGAAACGTAACTATAAAAATGCCACTTTAAAATTCCCTGAGCGCGCTGCAGGTACATAAAATTTCTTACACGGTGTAAAACTGCATCGCGTGTTTTCGATTCACGGTTTACGGGCCTTCCTAGATTTTAAACTGTCAACTTTATCCACGCCCGCATTAACGCATGTCATACATTCGATACTGGGGGAGAACGTGACTCCAGGGGAAAGTGTGTGAATACGCCTCTGCTTACAGCCCAGTGTTTTCGTCACAAGCCGTTGACTGTTTCCCCTCAGACTCGAGCGCGTTCGGGATGGGTACTGAAGGAGTCTCCTGTTCTGCCCAGCCCAGTGTTTTCGTCACGAGCCGTTGACTGTTCCCCTCAGACTCGAGCGCGTTCGGGATGCTATGCGCCGACCCAAGGAGGACAAGGTGACCATCAAGACCGCCGAGGGAGAGTTCCGCTTCGAAGGCATCAACAAGAACTTCACCAAGAAACTCTACGAATGGGAAGAGAGGCGAGGTGGGAACAGCCTGCGTCAAGTCATAACGTTGTGGAGGGAATTGCTATGTAGACTAGGGAGTGGTCGGGACTTCGAAATGAGGGACGTACTTCCGCAACGATGTGCGTGCCTGTTTGTAAGGAGATTTAAAGCACGTGAGTCGGCTGGTTCGAAGCCCTCCTAGTTTCTGCGCACCTGATGGTGGCAAGGTCCCCAAAAGAAAATGCAATGATGGAGACCTATAAGATGCGGTCAATACGGGATCATTTTGCGCTTACTCAACCACTCAAAGTCCAATTTGGCAAAGCACCGCCTTCTGGACAAACTTGCTATGCAAAGTTACCCCGGGCTTTGATCACGATTGTGAAGTGTTTAGACGTCTGCGCTTAGTGGTGTCCCGCTCGAAACGACGTCAGAAAATGAAGTAACGAGGGGCAGGCGCAAAAAAACAGTTGCTTCGCAGCTATAGCCCATTGTTTGATACAAAGCGGCGTTATGTAGGTAATGCGAGTCCCCACAGTGTTCAACCAGAAAATGACTTGAATTATTATCCCACCTCATTTCATTTTTGTGTTTGCTGTCCGCAACACACCCGTACTTTCCAATTTGATGACACCTTCGATTTTATTAGAAACTTCTGTTTCCGAATCGTCGTCCAGGTGCTACGGCGGAGATCATGTACAGAAGTGTTGGGACCATTAAGACCCTGGCAGTGCAGATGCGGTCATAGCGTTCGAACCAGACCGGAGCGGTGTTTGATGACCGACTTGGCGCGTTACCCAGTCCATTGTCAGAGAGGGCTGTGGACTGTCATCAAAAAGTTCGTTGTTGGCCACCGTTTACTTCTGGGACTTGTACCAGTCGGTTACAAGCTATGCACGACATACAAAAAAAACATTTATGAATTTGATTGCCTTCCATTAGGGACTTCTATGAGCAGCCAGCCTGGAGTCGAAGTTTACTTAAGACTATATCACGCCATGAAGTGTTCCTTTTTATCGCTAACGTTGTCAAAAGCGAAGTATATCCGTTTCACGTACTTGGTAGGAACGTCATCTATTTCACATAAAAATAGAAGTAAAAAATGATCAGAAAGGTTTACAATCGAAACTAATGTATGCACAAATCGAATATAGATGTGGATAAGACAGCAGTATTTGCCTTATTCCCCGGGAAAAACCGGAGAACAGAGATATAGTTGGGTTGATATTTCGGCGACATGCCTTTATCGAAATAGTAGCAAAAGTGAAAAATGGACTAAATTGAACTTCTGCTATTGTTTCAATAAAGGCATGTTGCCGAAACATCAACCCAACTATATCTCCATTCTCCGGGTTTTCCTAGGAATAAGGCTAATACTACTGTTTTGTCCATGTGAGCAATGTTCCTCGCTAATGCACTGAACAACTCGAATATAAATGTCATGATCAACGGAATCGACGACTACAAAAGAGACGAGAAAAATCGGGTAGATGAAAGCGAGAGGAGGAAAGCAACTTTCAGTGTCATACGAGGTAGACATTGAAAAAGAGGACACGAAAACACACGAAGGCTTCGAATGGCACGAAAAACTGAGGGCGGATTTTGCAGACCACTTAAGCCGAGCGTCCTCATCACACGTAACCAAGCTGCGGATTTTTACACTAACGCTATTCACAATGCTGTTTGCTAATTTGCCGCCTCCTTGACCTAGGGAAAGATGCTGGACTCGTAATCCAGTGGCACTGGATACCAGAGTGGGCGCATTGTTTGACCTGACTGAAATGAAAAGGCCAGCTGGCAACCGGTCAACGAGGGTCAACCGAGGCCTGGGGCGGCCGAACCGCAGCATTGTGCGGCACGTAAAACCCTCCGCGTTCCTGTCTGCCGAAAGGGCGGAGGCAAAATTATCTGTTGGACTGGACAGCACGCTTGTGGTCGGGTCCGGGGTACACGCAACAAGCTATGCTCAGCAGATACTCCGAATCTGAAATCACCCATGCAAACTATTCGAAAAAAAATATTTAAAAAAGTCAGAAAACTGCCTGCAGGCTTGACTCAACGGTTCACATGACCAAAAGATCGCGAAAGAAAACTGAAGTTGACTTACCGAACACTGGGGGGCTCCAAATGTAAAAAAGACATTCATATAAGCTGCACAGATGCAGATACAAGGGCAGTTATTGGCAGTTGTATGACCGATGAGGAAGACATATCTTAACAAACGGTTGCTGAGAAGGCTCCAGGTTCCTCGAACGTTGATGACCGATGATGAAGATACATCTCAACAAACGGTTGCTGAGAATGCCCCAGGCTACTCGAAAGTCCACTGAGCCCGGGCCTCGGCTGTGGCGGTTCCTGTAGATTTGATAATCTCGGTTGTGGAAGCAGGCTCGATGCCCTGGGCCGAGTCGGCTCCGGTCTGGTCAACGGTCCCAGTGTGGCAGATCAATACCCCCAGAGTTTTCCCCGGGACTTGCTTTTGGCATTCTGTGCATAGCTTTTCACCGACTGATTAACATCCCAGGAATAAACGGTGGCCAACAATGGACCTTTCGGTGATGGGCCGTGAAGTTTGTTGTGTCATGACATTTCACCTTTTGGTGATAGCGGCCGATAAAGCGAACTTTCGTTGGTCGCTTTATGCTTTCGGTGCAATGGGTTGACGCAAACCTTGTCTTGTGAACTGTGTGAACGCTTCATAATCACTGTTCACGTAGTAACGTCTATCCAATCAAAGCTATCGCCGCTAACAGAGCCAGCGTTGAGACGACCTTTGCCCTTAGGTGAGGGGAAGGAAGTTAATAACCGCGACGTCAGAATCTTCAAACCATGACTCCAGCCGTCTGGGGTCCGGACCAGTCCCGGACCTGGACCAGTCCGGGATGGGGCCGACAGGAGATAACTGCCAGGGGTGTCGGCGTGGGCCGGGCCGGCCGATAGGGGCTGGGTTGCGCGCGGGGTCGGAGGGCAGAGGGCTGGGTAGCACTTGGGGCCGGACGGCAGAGGGCTGTGTAGCGCGCGGGGTCGGTCGGCAGAGGGCTGTGTAGCGCGCGGGGTCGGTCGGCAGAGGGCTGTGTAGCGCGCGGGGTCGGTCGACAGTGGACTGGGTAGCGCGCGGGGTCGGTCGACAGTGGACTGGGTAGCGCGCGGGGTCGGTCGACAGTGGACTGGGTAGCGCGCGGGGTCGGTCGACAGTGGACTGGGTAGCGCGCGGGGTCGGTCGGCAGAGGGCTGTGTCGCGTGGGGTCGGTCGGCAGAGGGCTGGGTAGCGCGCGGGGCCGGACGGCAGAGGGCTGTGTAGCGCGCGGGGTCGGTCGGCAGAGGGCTGGGTGGCGCGCGGGGTCGGCCGACAGTGGACTGGGTAGCGCGCGGGGTCTGTCGGCAGAGGGCTGTGTAACGCGCGAGGCCGGCCGGCAATACCGCGCCAGTCCAGTACGCTCAGCGGTGGTTGCATCTGCACTGTTTGGGTTTTAACGAGTCTCCACCGACCCATTGATGAGTTTTGATGAAGCATTGAACGACAATTCTGAAAATCGAAGTTGTTAACGAATCGAAGGTGGAAACAACTCGGGAATTGGGCTTTTGAGGTAGAAATGCGTAACAATCACAGGATGGTGCCAATAATGCAATGTTCCTTTTTCATCACCTCTTGGATCATTTTATGAGCTACATAGCGCCCTTTAGGCTCGAAATAATGTGTTGTGGTTGCGGGATCATCATAGCTGAACTTTACGAACGTTCGTCATTAGGTCATTTTCTGACACCATCACTGGCGGAAAACGGCTAAGCACAGAGTCTATAACTCCAGAATAGTAATCAGAACAGGGGATAACATTGACGATCAAGTTTTCTCCACATCTGAGATGGTGGTACATACTCCACTGGTTGAGTACGCGTGGAATGATCCTACGGTCGTTGATTCTGGTCCTTTCAATGAACAAAAGCGTGCATCTCATCGCGGATCAGTTCATGTGCTGTGGACGATCCCCGCTTTCTCGCACTGGCTCAAAAGCCAGCACATGACGCCTGAGGTATGATGTTGACTTGAATTAACAATTAACCATCCTATGCGCTGTAATGCACCTTACAAGATCTTTAAGTGAATATGCTGTGCCAACGAGTACAATTTCGCCAGTTCCGAGACGCGAGTTCGACGAAAGGAAGCGTGATTCGACGCCAGCTCTGTCGGCTCTCCGCTGGCAGGAAAACATCGCCGAAGTTCACTAATGAGTAATGACCTCACCAGCTGACCGGATGAACCACCGCTGCGCCGTCCTCTTTCACAGGAATCCCGCCCGACTCGGAATCCTCGACCATCGCCCTGCTGGCACCGAACTACCAGCCGATGGACAAACAAGACCAGGAGGCCGGCAGAGTGGCCAGGTGGGGTCAGGGGTCAGGGCAAAGTGGCCAGGTGGGGTCAGGGATCAGGTGCAGGGCCGGCTGGGAAATGGTATAGCCGGTAGACTGGTAGGGGAAGGATGCCGGGCGGACAGAGGTAGACCGCGATGGCTGACACACCAGACATGATGCCAGGGGTGTAGCTAGGGGAGGGCCAGGGGCCCGGGCTCCTTCCTTAGGGCCGGGTTTGCTTTTTTCAGTATAGGTGGCGCCCGACAGGCAGTTTAAAACGGCGTGATGCGTATGCGTAGCCGTATGTATAACTATGGCTTCCGGAGAAATGTGAGAATGATGTTCCGTAGTGTGTTTATGATGACTGTGATTGATTGATTGATTGATATGGTTGACTGTGTGATAGTTTGCTCCTTCACTGCTGTGTGATAGCGGCCGCTCCTTCACTGCTGTGTGATAACGGTCACAGTCACTGGCATTGTAAGTCAGTGGAGATGTCATTCGCTGGTACACAACGCTGGCGATATCCCCCGTTGGTGTGCGCCGATGTTTGTGCTGCCATCTGATGCGCCAGCGCGCTGCCATCCGACACGCGTCAGGTGCAAGTCGGAAGGCAGCCTGGCCGAGCTGGCGTCGGCGGCGCTGGGTCAGCACAGCCGCCAGTCCTCCGAGGACAAGACAGGCGCAGGACTGGAGGGCACACTCGGAGGTGAGGTGGAGGGCGCGCTCAGAGGTCAGGTCCGCCACAGGCCGAAGGCTGAGCTGAAGGTCGATATATCAGCATGCGAGCTCTGAACACATGATTCCAAAAAGCTGAAGAGATGAAGAGCTGAAGAACTTCTTACTTCTAGCACAATTTCATTGACAGGAAAAAAGACGTGAATGCCATATAGCTATATAGCGTGTCATTTGTAAATGGATCTTCGTTCACCATATAGCCGAGTAGACCTGCAATGGGCCATCGATTCGGTGATAGCCTAAAAGTGCCTGTGACATGTCAATACCATACAAATGTTTGAGAAACATGGCGTACGTCACCGACTTTTACACGGCATTGCTTGCGGTTGTAGTGCTACGACTTAGATAGAAAATTGCCAATGTAAACGGTGCTTTGCGACCAAATATAATTGTTCGTTGTTGAGTCACTTCTCACACTTGTAACGTCGTTGATGCATCATGCCTATTCTTCCTTCTCGTCTCGCCAGCATTACGACTCTTTGCACCCTTTTGGCAAGCTCTCCGTCAGCTACCACAGTTACCTCCTACTTTTTTCATTTACATCCTACAAGACTACGAATTTTTTGCTTATTTTATACTTCAAGCCGACCTTACCAGGGGCAAAATGCATGAATGCGGCAAGGACCCTTCCCCTGAGCCTATGCCAATACAAAACCTTTTCCTTATTCGTCTTACTCTAACGATACCATGACGCCTGTTCTCCGTAGTTCTCTACAAATGTAACCTTCCTTTACTTCAGAGGGCCCTATAAAGACACTGTAACCTTCCTTTACTTCAGAGGGCCCTATAAAGACACTGTAACCTTCCTTTACTTCAGAGGGCCCTATAAAGACACTGTAACCTTCCTTTACTTCAGAGGGCCCTTATAAAGACACTGTAACCTTCCTTTACTTCAGAGGGCCTTATAAAGACACTGTAACCTTTCTTCTCCTCTCACATATTCCATAGCGCGACAAGCCGGTAACCTGCCCCAACACAATAACCCTAAATCCTCTCCAGCAGGCTCGAAACTGATACAATAGCTCCCCTTAACCGGCAGACGCTACGAAGGCGTGTTCGGAGCCGGACCTCCGTTCGACGACTGCGCCGACCGCCCGCCAGCTGAGCGGCCACGGCGGGCGGCGCGTGCGCAGTCATGGTGGACGTGGAGGAGGTGGAGGCGACGCCCCTGGAGGACATACCGCCCGTGCACGCGCAGGAGCCCGTGTACAGCTACGCCCCTGAAGAGGTCACGCGTCTCATCGACTCTAGTGGAAGGTTGGGATCACGGAAAAGGCGGAGTTAGGAATGAGATCACTTGATGGGAAACAGCTTGAATTAGCTGCGTAATTATAAAACTTCTTGTCATGCATGTATCTTGTTTCAGCGTAGAAATAGTGCGAAAGACTCGCAATTGGCTACAAAGAAGGGTTTTATTTTGAGTGAAGCCCTCTTCACTTTTTTTGGTCAAGGACTCCAATGTGCATATCGACAAATTTCGGATAGCTTCGCCTATCCGCCAAATATAATATTATTTCTTTACAAGTGCGTCTTATTCACGAAGTTTTATTGCTGGAAGCGTCAGGCTTTCAAAGCTAATCACCTAATCTGTTCAGGGATATTTATGATGCCTGTATTTCGTTCACAATGCTTACCACACTGTGTTTTGCAAACAAAGCCACGCCAAAGTCGCACCCAAGCGTTCCGCCTCATTGCAAAATTTGGAGCGTTTTATTGAAAGAATCGCTGATCGAGCGTGCGAGAAAGAGACGAAGAGAGGACAGATGAGAGAGCGCAGAGAGAGAGAGCGAGGAGAGAGAGAGGAGAGATGAGAGCGAGAGAGAGAGGAGAGAGAGGAGAGAGAGAAGAGAGAGAGAGAGAGAGAGAGAGATAAGCGAGAGAGAGAGAGAGAGCTAGCATCGACGAGAGAGATAGCTAGAGTAGATCGAGAGAGAGCTGCTATAGATGCTAGCAGTCGCCTGAGCTCTCGATAGAGCTATAGAGAGGATAGAGATCGAGAGCGCGTGAGCAGATATGAATAGATAGATCTGAGAGATTATAGCTCAGATCTATCGCTCTCTCGCTCTTCTCTCTCTCCCGTCTCGCTCCTCTACCTCCTATCTCTCTCTCTGAATCGCTCCCTCCTCTCTCTCTACCTTTCTCTCTCTCTCTCTTTCTCTCTCTCTCTCTCTCTCTATCTCTCTCTATCTCTTTCTTCACTTGATAGAGCCGTTTGGAATAATGGCTTTGTCACTCTCAAATGTATTGTCGACGGTGCTCCAGATGCGGTCGTCTGCCAGCGCTGTGCTTGTTTTATCGTTCTTCTTGCTTTTGAAATAACGATAAATCATGAAAAGGCATTTCAGCAAGTCAGTTATTCTATGAATGATTTGTAGTGGGACAGAATCTCGCCTTTCGACGCAAATCAGAAATGCGACCTCCTTTGACAAGCCGGACCAATTTCCAGAATAAGTCATGCTTAACGTGCTGGCCAAGTTCTGAGGATAGCACAGCGTGCATTAGGCCCATGCATTAGGGCCATGATAGGCCCATGGCCAATGCCTATCGGCGTCTATAGCAGCCTCAAACTGTAACTGTCAAGCAGCTTGACTTGACTTCATCAAGCTGTTGAGTAGCCCTGCGCATCAACAGCTGTTCGGTCCTTCGCAGCGACGGCGAAGTCCCTGGTTTCCTTCGACCAAACGATGACCTGCTGGTGACCTTTGAGGTGCCCGAGATGGCCTCGGGCGACCCCCAGCAGCCCGAGGGTACGTACTCCGGCCTGCTGGACGCCAACATCACCATCCTGGACAAGCTGAAGCAGAAGGAGGAGGTTTGCAGGTGAGAGGATGGTGCCGGATCAAGATCCCCTGAGAAGACTGTGTCCTCCCCACCTCCAAAATTCGAGGAAGCACTTAATTAGCCTACAACGTCGCATGGAAGTGAGGGCGCGGACCGTATTTCCACTCGTCAAAATTTCTCAAAAATTAACCGTCACCTGGTCGGCGTAGTTTACGTATTAGGACTTCACGTGCGATGTTTCTTCGATGCGCCGTCAGTGTCATTTGAGGCTTCTGTGACAATGTCATACGGTACACACCGGGGATTAATCCTAAGTGCAGTCGTTTTCTGGACGCTGGCTTTGTATACAGGGTGCTTTTACCTGTTGTATTATTCAAGCTGTGGAAATTCGTGCGTAGCCGTTTTTTCTGAACTGCTCGTCTCAACGTGAACCCTTAAAAAGCAGCGTGGTAAAGATAGCAAACATTTTCGTACTCGTGATTTCCTGCCTTTTGTTATTGCTCAGGCTTCAGTAAATCTTCGTAGGCTTCTCTCCGACCATTTTTAGAAACTGCGGACGTTGCAGGTGTTTGGAAGAGAAATTGGAAGAAATCGGTCAAAACATGATCAGCATTCAGCAAGAGCACAAACAGGAGCTTGGTAAGATCGCGAGCGTGATGGTACTGAGAAACTCTGGCTCCCTCACCAGTTAAAGATTTGAAAATCAGCGTAATTTAACAGTGCAAAATTAGCGTAATTCAACAGTTAGAAAATCAGCGTCATTCAACAGTTCGAAAACAGGGTAATTTAGCAGTTTGAAAATCGGCGTAATTAAACGGTTTCCAAATCAATACTTTGAATATCAGCGTATTTCAATAGTCCAAAAATGATCGCAATTTGCATGGGACACGTTGCACGAATTAACGGTGAGCCCGAACATGCTACCCACAAAAAATGAATCAGTTTCCGTTATAACGATTTTCTATTGTTCTGGCAGAGAAGCTGCGAAATCAGAAGACAAAGCTTCAACCGGCAGAGGAAGGTAACTGTCAAACACAGGCTCTCGTGATATTTGAACCATCTCAAGCATTTCCGGCGCGCATTAGATTTCAGTGTTTGATATTGCTATTAACTACTCAGGTGTCATTTGGGCTGATATGATTCTAACACGCGGTGATGCAACATTTCTGCAATGTCGCATGATGAAAATACATCAATGATGATTACAGGCGAGTAGGCTGGCAGGTATAATGCGTGCGTGCATTAACATACCACAGGCCCTGTGCATTTGATATGCCAAATTTTCGGCACACATTGTTTCGCCCGCGCCTCTGACATGGCTCCGCACCTGACTTTGACTCTGACTCCGGCCACTTCTCTGGAGCCGATTTTAACTCGGCGGCCCGCGTTCTCTGCAGGCGAAGGTCTGACGGAGGAGAGGAAGCTGATGGAGAACAACCTGCAGTTGCTGGAGAGCTTGCAACAGCGCTGTAACGAGCTGCAGGGTACTGGAGACCGGCTGAAGGAGGAGCGGGAACAGATACAGGTCAGGACTGGGACAGATAGGATGCAGTGTGCAGGATAGGAGGATGCAGACATAGATGGGTGCATGCGATTGATGGGCGCACGAAGGGGAGGGGACACGGGGAGGCAAGGGTGGGAGGGGATACAGATGACGAGCCGAAACGGGAACAAGGTAGAGATGGCAGCACATGCAGGTAATTGACGGGATGAGACCAAGTTGGAGGCAGGAATGGGCATTTACGCCAGGGACAGGACTAAATACAAATCCGGAACGGGAACAGGTGTTGGTAGAGGAAGGAAACAAATTTATGGCAGGTTCGCGGACCGGGGCATTTTAGATTGACGTGATAACGCTGAGAAGCCAATGGGACGGTGATCATAAGATCACACAGACATATGAGACATGGACCAGGCATGCAGGCGATGTTTTAGAACAGACATAGAAGAGAACGACATAGACGAGGGTGGTGGTTAGATGGTTGTTATGGTTAGATGGTTAGAAAGACATGTATGATTATGATGGTTAGAAAGACATAGAAGATAGGGTGATGGTAGGAACATTTACGGAAGAGCAAGAACTCATCTCGGTAGAAGACCATGACAGGGCACAGAAAATAAAGATTATTGAAATAAAAACGGATCTGGTGGCTTTGAAAAGTGAGTTGAATGCAATCTTGATTTTGATTCCACTGAGTGTATCTTATATGACCAAACGCTTCCCAGCTAATTTTATTATTACGACCCATATGTCATTTGTTCGTTTATCGGCAACTGATAGCGGTTCCGTGACCGTCTTAAAGTCAGAGCGTGGCCACGTGACACGTGCATAGTACGGCGAAGAGTGCGGGTAAGACATCCTCGATGGCACGGCAGAAATGCCGGAGTAGTTTGCAGGTGGTGTCATCTCGACGATAATAGCACTCAAATCCTGCCAAAATAATGGGAACAGAGTAAAGAGTGTATGCAGCAATGGTCGGTGCCACGTATTCCTCGGTTTGTCTCGTGGCGTTTGCTGGGATCGGTTCCGCCCACGCAGCTGGGCACAACTGGTGCGGCAATGACCAAGCAGAAAGTTCATCTGGCGCTGGAACACAACTTGTTAGTGGGCAAAGATGGTGGTGATGATTCATCTGGTGCTGGAATACAACTTGTTAGTGGGCAACGATGGTGGTGATTTTTTTAGTCTACGTCGCCGATGAGTAGTTATGCCGCCGATAAGGTATGATGTATGATGTAGATATTATGCATAGATAGATTTTGATACAGATATTGGAAATTTGGGTGCATTTATAGATGGATGAGCAGCATTTGTGGTAAAAAGTTGTGATGCGTGTACGTCCGGGGGCGGTCGTGGCCGAGTGGTTAAGGCGTCTGACTAGAAATCAGATTCCCTCTGGGAGCGTAGGTTCGAGTCCTACCGACCGCGTGCAATCTATCTTGTAGTCGAACCTAGGCTGGGTGTTACCTGGAACAGTTGTTACGGTTGCAGATATATGCGTTCTGTGTCATTGGTTTTGTAGATTGGTTCACGCTTGCCAATGAAGAATGCATTATTTGTTGTCAGATGCCTTCTTTCCGCTGTTTCTGTTCAGTTGTGCACTGTTTACGCATCACTCAACCACCATCGCACGGACCGCTGCGTTAGGGCCAAGTTCTTCCCTGCACGTACGCCAATAATGATGATAACCGTGCTTAAGACCAGGCCATCTCGGAAGAGGAGGTAAAGGGCTGCAGCTGTATCAAACTTGTAATCGAAACGACACCATCGGCATTTCCCCTCCCGTGCGTTTGCACAGAACGATCGGATCATCGCACGGCTAGCTACTCCAGCTAATATCCAACTTCAGCTCGACCGCACAAAACACTGCATGCGGTCGGTAGGACTCGAACCTACGCTCCCAGAGGGAATCTGATTTCTAGTGAGACGCCTTAACCGCTCGGCCACGACCGCTGTGCGCATTGCCACCTCACACTTTTTCGCCACAAATGCAGATCTTTCAGCGATGCGGGCGGGAAACCTACCATCACTGTCGGACTAGCGATTTGCTTGCGACCGCGGAAGGTAACGTCTACATTGACATGACCACACCAGTTGTATACAGCTTTGTGGTTGGAACCGATCCGAGCGGATATTAGTAAACAAACCGAGGATCGGGTGCCAACGACCACTGCCGGGTGACCTCCTACGCTTGTTCCGATTATTTTCGCAATCTGTGATCAGTATTGTTGCTATCGTCGCGACCAGATGAGATGCAAACTACCCCAGGAGTCTGTCCAGTCTGCGCCATCACCACCTCCCACACTGTTCACTGTATCCCGGCAAAACGTGAGAGCTTACTCTCGCTTTAAGCCAATCGCGAAACGATGGCTAGCTTACACCTGACATGTAAAACAGCACGATAGGATACATCCATTTACTGTTTAAAGACTTGACACAAATGTAACCCCGTACCTCGTCTCCCGGGATGGCCCGATCGCAGACACCTTTACCTTCACTGTCGTCGTGCGTGCAGCGAAGAGATTAGCCCTAACGCAACCGTCCTCACGAGCGGGGGTGAGTGATGCGTGACTGATGCATACGTGAAAATAGGCCTGGAACCGTCTTATTACAGCTTATGCTCGTTGCAAATTATTAAGTATTTTTATACGAGTACTGGGAACCAGTTTGCACCAGCTGGGACAAGCCACTGAGGATTCACAATGAACAGGCGCACTGTCCATGTGCAACACCTATTCCAGTTAACACCCAGCCTTAGCTCGACCGCATAAAGCACTTGACGCGGTCGGTAGGACTCGAACCTACGCTCCCAGAGGGAATCTGATTTCTAGTCAGACGCCTTAACCACTCGGCCACGACCGCTGTACATACCGACGTCGGCGCCGTGAACGTCGGTGGCTCACACGTTTTCGAAACAGGTGCAGGTCTTTCAGCCGCGCTGGCTTGGAAAGCCGCCATCACCACCGATCACCAGAAATTTACGTTGGATCCGTGCCGGTGCAGGTGCAGTCATGCCCACGGCTTCCAGGATGGCCTAATCGTAAACACGGTTGCCTTCTGTCCTAACGCAGCGGCCTGCTCTCCCCTGCTGTGAACGTCTTTTGTGTTGCCTTGCTAGCGCAAATTGGTTCACGATTTTCATCGAAGAATACGTTCTGTGTTATAAGACAGTTCCGGGCCTCTCTCCATTTGTGCATTGTTCACGCATCTCTCACCCCCGATTGGGAGGACCGTTGAGTTAGAGACAGTTCCTTTGCTGCGCATATACCGCTAGTGAAGGTAACCGTGCTTGCGATCAGGCCATCCCGCTAGAAGAGCTGCTGGCTTGCGTTTGTATCAGCCTGCATTCTTGAAAAAGTACATGGTGTATTCCCTCTCCCTTTTCTCTTCTGCCTTGATGCTTCTCCGACACTGGACCAGACATGATGTTTAAGCTAAACATGGTTGCACCTTTTGCTTAACGCGCGCTCAGGTGGGGAGCGGGGCGCAATTCGGCCTCCCCACAAGGTCTTTCTAAGTCACTGTCCTAACAGAAGCATGATGAAGCCTTTAAGTTTATGAGGCTGTCGCCCAAATTATTGCTAGGCGCCGATTATGAATTCAAATAACAAAATAATTCCTAAGGAATTTAGCCATGTTATGTTTTCACGGTATGCTTGTGACAAAGTTAACGGGGCGGGAAACTGCCGATAGGGAACCCTGGGCAGAATTCCCGGTGTGGTTTGCATTCCATCTGATTTAGCCTGCCTCTTATGTTAATATTTAATAGGTCATTAAGTTTGAAGAAATGCCCGAGGACTGGCGAAATGCCAATGTGGTACCGATGTTTGAGCAAGGCGACCAAAGAAGTCTTAGAAACTACAGGCCTGTCAGTCCTACTTCACTAGTGTGTAAGATCTTAAAGGAATTCGTCAAAGCTAGCACTCAGTCACACGTAGATAAACATCAGCTGACAAATAGTAGCCAGCATGGTTTTCTTTCTGGCAGGTCCTGTTTGATAAATTCTCTGGAGCTCATCGAATATGTTGCTAATGTTTATGGGATTGAGGAGGAGCATGTTGTTTATCTAGATTTTAATGAGGCGTTTGATAAAGATGTCAAAACAGCGTCTGCTATATCGGTTAAAACTGTATAGCGTTGAGGGAAAAATTCTTGGTTTGGTAAATTCTTAGCTGTCAGACAGGAAACAAGGAGTGGTGCTCAGTTGTGTAAAATCTCAGTGCGAGCTAGTGGAGAGTGGGGCTCCGCAGGGTTCTATGTTGAGTTCTTTGCTCTTTGTTATTTTTGTAAATGATAATGAAATGGGATTAGAAAGTAAGGAGCCAAAATTTGCTGACGACATTAAATGGGTTAGGGTATCGAAAAGCCTCAACAGTTCCAACTTGATACAGGGAAATTTGTGAACTCTGTGATAGACGTCATTCGATTATGATAAGTGGAAGGGGATGCTTTAGGGTAGCCCTGGCGGTGAAGGCATTGCCAGGATTACCCAAATGGCAGATATCATTTAGGAAAAGCATAGCGAATCGTTGGAATGGACTGTCAAACACTCTTTTAGGAAGTACCTCTCTACCAGCATTTAAAGACTGTTTCGGCAAGTTGCATCGGTATCAGGATCTCATTTATGGCTAAAATCAGGCAGGTCAGGCGGTAAGATTATTTTAGGGAATGTGTGCGGAACCCGAGGTAGGCCAGCCTCGATGGGCTGTCGTGTCTCTCCTTCATGTCTATGTCTTCATGATCGCAACGATAAGAACTTTTCTGGTCACTGACTGACAATTAATAAAGCAGGACGAGTGCACCCGACAGCGGTCCGTACCACATAATGCTTGGTGTGTTTAGTAACGTTCGCTGGGGTCGGAGCAGTGCACGAGCTAGACAAAACTGCTGTGACCATGATAACCCAGACGCTACCTGGAGCGCTCGAAAGCAAATGGCTAGTGGTCGATGGCGATGGCGGTTCGCCTGTCAGGGCCGCTGAAAAAGTATCCACTTGTGGCAAAAAGGTGTGATGCGATGATATC